ACGCTGGTGACTGGGTGAGGTGTGGGCGTAAAGGTCTGGCCATTTGGTCCCAATCCCCTAAATGCCCACCCACCACCACCAAACTTCTATATCTTCATCTATGAATATCGTACTCCATAAAATCCATTAATTTATCAAACATTTATTGAATTACTATTATATGTTAGGCTCCATTCAAGGCACTCGGAATACAGCATTGAAAAAGACAAAGACCCTAAACTTACTGAGTTTACAGCTATAGTCTTTGAAACTCTTTATTGACCACATGAGGGACCCTCTTTCTTGGACATGTCATAGACTTTGTCTTTGTGGTTACATCACCATCAGCCAGGCTAGAAATAGGGAACTCGTATCTGGCTTGTTACACTTCATCTACATTCTGTCACTTATAAAAGTCCTGCTTTTTAAAAAATATCCTTAAAACTCCACATGCTCACTCTGTTATCCCTATCTCCACTCCAAACTCTAGATTAGAAGTCTCACCCTGGGTCACTACGACTGATGTTATCACCTCTAACTAGTTGCCCTGCCTATGGTCCTACCTTCCTCAAATCCATCTTCCACCAATCACTCATGATTTATTTAAAATAAAAATCTAATCAGCTCCATTCCCTGCTCATAACCCTTCAGAACCCAAGCTACTTGATATGGCCCAAAGCCTCTATGATGTGTATCTTACATCTCTTGCCCTATTTATTTACAGAGTCCCTATTTCTTTCTTTCTTTTCTTTTCTTTTTTCTTTTTTTTTGGGGGGGTGTTTCTCTGTATATGTCTCTAACTCAATATAAAGTTCTTTCATGGTTGTTTTTTACATCTTTGTAGTCTCAATACCTAGCACAGTGCCTGGGATATACTATCCCCTTAATAAATTTTGAGCTGAACTGGATTTCTGCTATTGTTTGCATTTGTATGTATCTTTCATCTCAAGCTTTCATGTGTCTGTATCTTGATTCTTCAACCAGACAGTGCATTTTTGGGGTGAAGGGGTAGTCTTTAGAGCTATTTACAAATATCTCAGTTCTTTTCTGGAGACATTGTAGAATTCTATTTCCCTTTAAAGTTAGGAATATCCATGTGACTTGTCATGGCCAATGAAATATGAACAGAAATAATAAGTATCATACACCGGTGAAAGCATTTAAGTGCCCAGTGCAAGATACTGCCACATCTTCTCCCCTTGCTAGAGGGGAAACAGGAAGAAATGGAGCCTTCATCTGCCTGGGTCCTTGAGTAACAAAGATGAGCAGGACCTCCTGCTGGCCTATGCTTGACTTGTAGCACAAGCAAGATACAAACACTACCGTCCACTGAGATCCACTGAGATCCACTGGGATGTGGCGGTTGTTTATTGCTGCCACATTACCATGACCACTATGTTCCCTGGGGACAGGAACTGTGCCCCTTATCTGGGTCTCCACAGTGCATATTCAAAACAGACTGAATAAAAATATTATAATTAAATTTTTATTTCCGGTAGTCCATAATGTCCAATTTCAAATATTCCTCTCTCATCTGTTCTATCTCATTTCTAAAGCACAATTTCTGCTCCATTTTGGCACAATTATGGTTTCTAAAATATACAAATTAAAATTTCTAATCAGTTCCTAATCCAGTGTTGATCACTCATGTAACATTTGTGCAGAATGAAATGGCTGTCCTCCGATGACTGGCACAACTACAGGCAGAGCCCTCCCAGGAACGAGAGTCGGGGGGAGGTGGCCGGCACTTGTGTGCAGCTCGGGGCAGCACAGCGGAGGGGTCGCAGCAATCGCCTTCCTAGGGCATGTGTGCTGCAGCACAGGTCTCCCTGTGTCCTCTGCCCCAGCAGGTGGCACAATGACATGGCAATAAATGTATTGAAATATTCCTCCATTTGCCTTGATATGCCTATAAAAATCCTCACTTTGGGGCATATAATTCTATGAGGAAAAATATCCTCTTTCTATGATCCTTTTTAAACTCCATTGTTAAACAATGAAATATTTAGAAAGAGTTCCAAAAAAGGCTTTTTCCTGAAAGAAATGCCTAACATAGTTATTCTCTCCGTATTTCTTATAGTAACTTTAAAGGCATATTTTTTCCTTATGTAAAAGTATTATAGGTTACTCCAATCTTACTTCATGCACATCAGCAAAGAGCTTGCTGCTATATGTACTAGTTCATAGAGTTAAAAAAGAAAACAAACCCACAGTCTTACTATTTTCTTACCCCTATTAACAGTTCTAATGCAATACCTGCTGCCTCCTCTGACAGCCACACTCCCAAACATACCCTTCCACAGGACAAGCTCCCGCTAATCACCACCCATCTGTTTGATATCCTGAAAATAAAAATGAAGCTCATAGTCATTATCTCTATGGTTATATACTTTCTGTAATCAATTTCGAATTTGCAGCTATGGTTATCACAAAGTCTTGACTTTTAACTTTAAGTTTTCATTTTTATAAATGCCAAGTGTTTTTTGTTTTGGACTGAAATATGAGTATGTCTACATTTACTATAACTAAAATATAATTTCCTAAAGATACTTCCTGAAAAGATAGACAAATCTTCAAGTTAAAAAATAAGCTTGTAGTAGACTTTTTATAATTTTTTTAACATAAACAAAGTCTTTATGGACCAGAGGAAAGATTTCTCCAGTGTAAAAACATGTATGGGCACTCACATCTATGCTGTGAGTGGAAAAAGATACCTGGCTCTGTACTGCTCATAACCACAGCCAGCAGTAGGACAAAGCCTTTGTGTTCTTAAAAGGGGTCACTGGGTGGATGGTTGCTTTGTACATTTTAAAAATCTAACAACATAATACCAAGAAGAAACCACAAAGGGAAAATATTAATAGATCCAAATACACAAATATTTAAAACTTCAATACTAAATTAAACATTACTAAATTAAAGATATATAAAAATGAGAATATTACCACATACTATCTTAACAGAGACCTTTTGCAAATCAGCTATACTACACACACATCCACACACAAATAAAAATAAATAATGACAGTAAACCTATTGAAATAAACAGGAGCTAATCTCTACCAATAGAATTTTTCACTCAACATATAAGCAAAGATTTGAGAGCAACTAATTTTATTGGGAAGAGTATAGAGCATAGTTCTGGTGGTAATAAATATTGGTGCCACCTTTTGGGAAGTAATTTGACTATATACATCAAAACCCTTATAAATAGGTTTTGCATTTGAACCACCAGTTCTAACTCTAGGTGTTTGTCTTCATCCAATCATTAGACAGTGTCCATAAGAATTTTTATTGCAAGGATTTTGATGCACATGCAGATAGAAAACTATCTGGAGGAATACATACTAAATTATTGGCTCTGATTATCTACAGATAAAACCCCAAATTCACTATTTTTTTCTTTTTATTGTTCATCATTGTGTCTAAAGTTTCTATAACAAACACCTATTACTTTTGTAACACTGCATCTTGATTATATTTTATTTTTCAAAAAAAGAAAGAACTTTGAAAGCATAGAGATGATGATAGGAATTTGGGATTCCTATCTAGAGTTAACCACAAGTCAATGTTTATTTTAATTGATTCAACAGGGCAGACTAAATGTGAAAAACAAAATGGTCTACTCCTTTACACAACAAAACTATTGTTCTTTTCTGGTTACTTCCACCTACATGGAGAATTGTTTAAGGAAGATATTTATAACCCCAATCATATTCTGGATAATTGTGGCCATGAAGTCACAATTCTCCATAGCAGCACAATGATTTTTTAAAAAATGAAAACAGATACCTGAACAAAACCTCTGTGTTTGGGAATGCAGGATACAGCAGGCAGTAGAAGAGAAATAGACTCCAACTTTCCCGAGAACCCCCAAAGTAAGGAAGTGTCCCTTCCCTTACAACGGTTCTTGGTGGCACTCTGGAAAACCGCAGCAAGTGAGGAATGCTGAGCTTAGACACAAAAACCTCAGCACAACCACGGATTGTCAGGTAGCCAGACTGGCAGGTGTAGGGCTGAAATGGCCGCGTGCCACGCAGTAAAATGCCTGCAACAGTCACACATTTACAATCAGTTAGGCGGTGCTTCCAACTCAGGCTGAGGTAATGCCAAAAATTTCAAATGGTCCAAACATTTCATGTTAGTGTCAACAGCACCAATTCAGCTTCAGCTGGCAGAAGAGAAGGAAATCAACAGCATCTGCATTATTTACTCCAGAGTAACTAGCTGCAAACCATCTGTCCTCAGCCATCACCACTCCCATAAAATGTGGTCCTTTCTATACTCCATCCCTTTCTTGTTTCTGTAAGCCCCCCCTCCCAGTCTTGGCCTAAGAACCTGAAGTCCCAATGTTTCCCTGAATATAGAGATATGGGAAGTTAATGTCAACAGAGTAATTGGTACCACAAAACATCTCTTAATGCTGAAAAGTATTATTATGAGTTGTTCAGCTGCAAAAATTATTCATTCCTCCAACCTTCATTCTAAGGCTGAATATAATGTTTCCTGTGGAGGGGAACTACAGCATACAGCATGGAAAACCCACTTTCCTGCATTATGGGGTTTACAAACTGGTTCAAGGTTCTAAAAGTAGAATCAAAAAGTTGACTGAATTAGAATAGGAAATAGGTTGCATACAGCAAAGTTTCCAAAACATTTTCAAACTGCATTTGTGTGTAGTTAATTTTTAGAGAAATAGTGTGCTTTCCCAGAAATTAACTGTACCACTCTGAAACACCACAAGAACTGCAGTAGTAAGGAAATCAGACCAGAGTTAGTCCCATAGTGATTCCAGAACTATATTTGATCTATATGAATTGTAAAGGAGAATATGAGCATTAGACCCTTCAAGAGAGAAAAACTCGAGCTTTTCCTTAAAAATAAAAGTAAGCCATCTATGCAAAGGTAGTTCAAAATTTATTTAATTTATTTAAAAGATTAAAATATTTCTTTTTCTTTCATTTACATATCAAATTAAGAAAGTAGAGATTAAAAGCTAAATAAAGGCCAAATCTTCCCTAAATCTGATCTGAGAATTAACTGCTTAGAGAGACACACATGCAGCACTCATAGATCTCACTAACCTGAAAGCATCAAACAATTCTCTCATTTTCTATCTTACTAATATTGCCGTAATTATACTTCCAATAACAGGCAAAAACTAATTGGAAAAATACTGTAACATTTCACTGGCAATAGAGATTAAACATGAGTTCAGTAATCAGCTTCTGCAAACATGCTTCAATAATGACAGGGAGAAACCTGCCATACCAAGCTGCTCAGCCAGCTGTGTGGGTGGTCAGTTGAAGTCAAGGTGAAAGCAGTGAGGGTGAACAAAATTGCATTTAAAAAAAGTATCTCATAGGGGTTTTCAAGGTCAGTTGACAAAGACCAGGTGTAAGTAAACATTTCTTATATATCCTGGAGGAAAGAAAAAAACAAAATAAGATTACTACAAGCAGCAAAACAAAATTCAAAGTTTTTCTAAACCACAATTAAGTTCCTTCGAAGAATACTCTTACTACATCAGGCTTAAGTGACTATTTGTTAATAATTTCAAGTCCCAATGAAATGATTTAATTTTCAAGCCCCATTGCATTCAATTCACAAAATAGTCTTTGTCAACAATGCACGTCTTGTTGAGTGATGGCTCATCAGCTGTGTTCTTAGAGATAGGCTGATATGGGTCACAAATTATAATGTTCACAAGTATTGCCACCCATCTCCATAGTTACAGCAAGGACAGGACTAACACAGTGTGGAGCAGAGCAATTTAAATGGAAATATATGGTGTACAGTTGTATCATATTAGGCAGCAGGAAGGTGACTTCTAAGAAGCCTCTGAGAAAGGGAGAAAGATTAAATGAGTCCCCTCCCCGTCAACTATGTGCAAAGGTCAAGAAATCTCCACCAAGCTGCCTAGAATGGTGGACCACATTTTTCTCGAGATTCAGACTAGTGCTGTTTTACACTCTGGGAAAGTCAAATCCCATGTTATCCCTTAGGTCATGGCAAATAACTACCATTAAAGACAAAGGACTTAGAGGTTCCATGCTATTCCAAAGGGTCTCATTTACTGGTATCAGAAAAAAAGATCACTTGAAGTGATTCTTTAAATGTACCACCCTAGGTGCAACATGAAAACTAATAGAGTATTCAAAAACAGCAAAACACATTTTTTAAATACAAAAGGAAGTTTAAATTATCAAATAATAAATATATATTAAGTAGTATGAGAAAAATGTGATTTAAATTTTGAAAGTGTTAAAAGTAAAGGTTTATCTAATTGGCCTACCAACATACATTTATCAGAAGCCCACTGCTTAAGAGTCTATATTATGTTTCAAAAAACTGCTTTCATCAGTCTTATCATATTTTCTGCCTTCTTCCTTTCATTGTGTCTTTTGCTTTTTACTGGTTCTATTATTTCCTCTAGCTCTCCTCTCTCATTCCTTGGGGGATCTCAGTCATCATTTATAATTGACACATTTTTAATATATTGTATATACTAAACTTTTGTCAGCTTTTTATGTACAAAACATATTCATTGCTGGGCCCCATTCTAATAATTTGAACATAGTGAATAAATTATTTTGTGTTTTCTAGGTAGATAATTGTATTATCTGTGGTTTAGTTATTTAATTTATTTTCCACGATTCGTTCACAGCAGATTTATATATAATAGTCAACAATGAAAAAAACCCAAATGTCCTCATATGGGTAAAAGGTTAAACAAACTGTGGTATATCTATATCATGGAATACTACTCAACAATAAAAAATAATAAAAGCTTTGATGGATATCCAGGGAATTATTTTAAGTGAAAAAAGTTAATCCCAAAATTGACATATGTGTGATTCTATTTATTTTATTTCACTTTACAATTTATCTATTGAGTTTTAGAGAGAGGGAGAAAGGGAGCACCAGAGAAAGAGTCAGAGGGAGACAGAGAAATTCAATTTATCATTTCACTTATGCATTCATTGGTTGCTTTGTGTATGTGGCCTGACCAGAGATTGAACCTGCAATGTTGGTGTATTGGGATGCTCTAATCAATTGAGCTACCAGGGCTATGTGATTCCATTTATATTAATATTTTTGACATGATAATTTTTAGAAATGGAGACAGTCTTGTATTTCCCAATGGTTACATATGGGGACTCATTCTAAGAAGGACATAAGTGTGGTTATAAAATGGTAACATTAGAAAGATTATTGTATTAATGGAATTGTTTAGAATCTTCTGTACTCTGGTGGATACATGGACCTACATATGTGATAAAACTACAAAGAACTAAATACACACACAAAGAGACCCACACAGTGAAGTAAAACTGGAAAAATCTAAATAAGATCAATGGATATTATCAGTGTCAATATTCTGTATTATCAGTGATTTATAAACTTTTTTCAATCCTTACATCTGATTTAAAGAAAATGGTCTTTTAAATTTATTTTTAGAGGAAGGGTGAGAGAGAGAGAGAGGAATATGGATTTGTTGTTCCACTTATTTATGCATTCATTGGTTGACTCTTCTATATACCCTGACCAGGGATCATACCTACAACTTTGGTGTATGTAGATGATGCTCTAACCAACTGAGCTACTGGGCCAAGGCAAAGGAAATGTTTCCGATTTATTTTTATTATAGATTTTTGCTGACTTTTTGGTTAAAGGAATTTTCTTTATTTTTTTGTGCTTGTACATTCTTTTTTATTATATTTTATTGATTATGCTATTAGAATTATCCAAATTTTTCCTCCTTTGCCCCTCTCCACCCAGCAACCCCCACTTCTTCATGCAATCCCCACACCATTGTTCATGTCCATGGGTCACACATATAAGCTCCTTGGCTACTCCATTTCCTATACTGTACTTTACATTCCTATGGCTATTCTGTAACTACTTATTTGTACTAAAGAAATTTTCTTTCTGTTCCTAGTTTGCTAGAAGCTTTTATACAAATGAGTATTGAAATTTATCAAATGCTTTCCCTGTAACTATTGAGATGATCATATGGTATTTGTCCTATAGTTTATGAGGTGAAATTTTTGTTTTATTTTGTTTATTTTTTTGTTTTATTTTGTTTATTTATTCATTTATGATAAGCCATGCTTGCATTTTGGAATAAATTCAATTTGATATGGACACATTATGCCTTTTAAAAAATTCATTAGAGAATCTATCAAAATTTTGTGAATTTTTTAAATCCATGTTTATGAGTGAGATTGGTCTATCATTTTTTTTCTGTATAGTTTTTACTGGATTTTCATTGAAAGTTACATTCACCTGCATAACTGTTTTGGGGAATACTTTCTACTTTTCATTTATCTAAAAAATCTTCCCAGACATTTGAAATCATCTGTTCCTAAAACATAGTAGAACTTTCCTGTAATATGCCTAAGCCTGGTTTTTATTTTATGTGAAGACAGTAACAAATTAACCTACATAATGCTTGCATCATTTTGACTTTGCACCAACAATGTGTGAAAGAATCTGTTTTTCCATGGCCTTGCCAACAGAGTATATTGCCAATCTTTCATTTTGTGGAGGGGGAAGCTGCTGAATAATAGATGAGAAATGGTATTTTGACTTTGTTCTTAATTTGTATTCCCTTCATTATAAGTTCAGAGAGTGCTTTAATTTCAAAGATTATGTTTTTTATTCCTAAAAATTGTTTTTTTCCCAAGTTGTCTTGGTTGGCATTGTCTTCTGTTTTTGCTCATTGTTTTAAATCCAATGTTTTTTGTCATCCAATGTTTTATACATAGCTTTTTAAAATTCAATATCTAGTCATTTTCGTATATCACATCATTTAGTTCTAAATCTTTGTTGTTTTGGTGACCCTTAATCACAGCCACCTGTTTCCTTATTCGTATCCAAAGTTCTAATCACTGCTTTATGCTTGGAATACAACCAAAGGGCCCTGCTCTGATGGCATATGGAACATATATCACCATAGGGAGAAACTAAGGATAAATAGTCAACAAAACATATAAATAAATGATAGAAAATTATGTTAGAAGTTGCAGAGTGCTATGGAAAAAAGAAGTGGTGCCTAGAAAGAGGATGGCAAGAGCCAGGGGTAAAAGCACAGGTGGTAGCACTAAATAAATGGTCAAGGAACCCTCACTGAGGGAGAATTAAAAGAAAAAAAAAACTTGGAGGATAACAAATAATATGGATGTTTTGGAGGATAGAGTAGAGGGAGCAGCCAGTGCAAAGGCCATAAGGTGAGAACATCCAGTTTCTCAAGTTTTCAAAATAACAGCAAGAAGCAAGCATGGCTAGGGAGCATGAGGAAGGGTGAATGGCAGAGGGTAAAGCTGAGTCTGGATCATGTAGCACCTGGTAGGCTGATGTAAGGACTTTGGCTTTTACTCCAAGTGATTTGGAGAGTCATGGAAGCCATTGGAGGGTTTTGAGCAGAAGAGTGATGGGATAGGACTTCTGACCTAAGGGATTGTTCTCATATAGAGAACAGACTCTAGGTGGGGAAGTGTGGAAGCAAAGGAACCATGTGAGACATTTTCAAGAATCTAGATGATCATTGAAAGAAGTTGGAAACAAGATAATAGTGGTGAAAGTTGAGAGTAGCTGTTGGATTAGATATATTTGAAAGGAAGAATCAAGAATATTTCCTGATGGATTATCTGTGGAGGGATGTGAGAGATGGGTTGTGGGATTATGCAAACAGGAAAAAGTGCAGATAGGGCATTAAGGTAAAGAGAATAAAGGTTAAATTTTAGATATGTTAGATATGCAAGTAGAGATGTTGGGTAGGCAAATGGATATAAAGACCTAGAATTTGGAGGAAGGAGTCCAGGCTGGAAATTAAAATTTGGGAGTAATAAGCATATACACTTAATTTCATGAAAATAGGTAAGGCCATCAAGATATTAAGTGAACATAACATTCAGAAGGTGGTCCAGTGTGGATCTCTGACGCACTCCAATATTGTGAGGACAAAAAGATGCAGGGAATTCAGCAAAGGAGAATGTTGACCACTGAAACAGGTAGAAACCCAGGAAAGTGTAACATCCTAGAAGCCAAGTAAAGAAAATTTCAAAGAGAAGGAAGTGAATCATCATGATGAATGATGCTGATAGGTCAAAAAAGTAAAGATTGATATATAACCACTGGATTTTTGCAATGTGGACATTGTTAGTGACCATGACAAGAGCATTTTTGTTGGATTGGTGAAGTTTAAAACCTGGTTAGAGTAGGTTTAAAAGAAACAGGAAGAAAGAAGGTAGACACAGCAAGAATAGAAACCTCTTGAAGTTTGGTCTAAACAGAAGAAAGAAACAGCACATTGAAATAAAGAACAAACTAACGGTAACCAGAAGGGAGGGGGAAGGGGAATAATGGAGGAAAGAATTGGAAGATTGGAAGGGTCATCAAGGAACATGGAAAAAGGACCCATGGAAAAAGCCAAAGGGGGTTAGGATTGAGGGTGGGAGGTTGGGTGGGTGGGGCAGGGGAGAGTGATAGGGGGAAAGTGGAGACAACTGTACTTGAACAACAATTTTAAAAAATGGAAAAAAAAGAGAAAGATATTAACTAAAAAAGACAGCAAGAGGAAAGGTAGTAGCAATACACTTTATATTTCTTAATATTTTATGATGAAAGGCATTTTTCTAGTTGAGATGGATAATTCAGGTTAAGTGGGGAGTATTGGTAGAACAAAGACAAGCAGTCAGTGAAGAAGATAGAAACTGGCTCACAAAGAAGAGCAGGCATACAGGTAGGGATGTCTGTGGGTAAATAAATATGGAGGTAAAGCTGAGAGTCTGAAGCTTCTATCATGTTTCCTTCAAGTAAGGGGAGCACTAATAACCATTTTGGCTTGGAGATGCCTGCCCCACTAAGGAATTGTTAATTATCCTCACTCACATTACATCATGAGAAAACAGCATTCTTTATAATCCGAGAAGAACCTAAGCGAAGGTTTATAGCTCACTTATAAAAGGTCTACCAATAGTCATCGGTGAGCCCAACCCTTATTCTCTTAGCAGTAGCCCATGCAGTATTCATTTACTCTCTCCCATCATCTTCCCCTCAATCCCAGGTATTTTTCAAGGTACTTTCTAAATTTGGGTAGTAGTTGAATAGAGGAGAAAATGTGTAGCAAGTTTCCAAGTCCTGTGCAAAATCTGAGTTTCAATCACGTTTCATAACTTATAAAATCCATGAACTTGGATAATGTATTAAATTCACAGTGCTCCATTTACTACATGACTACTACTCCCATATTTGTATGTTAATAATTTGTAAATTGTAACACCTGATGCAAAAACTGTGTATTTAGAACCTTTTCTCTCTCCCATATTGTCTCTTCTCTGACTGCTATAGTGATACACATGAACATATATCATGGATAAATAAACACATCCACTATGCATTCTCTGCAAATTTGCCTGATTTCAGTTCTGTTCACTATATACACATTTGTGAAATCTACCTATTAATTTTAACTACCGGATGTCTTTAAAGAAAATATACATGAAAGATTCCTAACAGACTGTCTTCTTAAAAATGCTCTTTTGTCCATCAAGTATTTATTTTTTTCTTAATTTTTTCATTTACTTATTTTTTAGAGAGAGGGGAAGGGAGGGAGAAAGATAGGGAGAGAAATATTGAGCAAGAGAGTAAACATCAATTGGCTGCCAGCTGCCTCTTCTAAAAGAGAGGACCAAACCTGCAACCCAGGCATGTGTTCTGACTGGCAGCTGAATCAGTCACCTTTCACCTTGCAAGACAGTGCTCAACCAACTGAGCCATACCTTGTTAGGGCCATCAAGTATTTATTAAAGAATTATCTTCTCTAGAGTTTGTGGGTCAGCAAACACTTGATTATTTTGTTATATTTTACCAATTTAAAGATTTCCATCTGTTTCATTTTTTTAAATAGACACATATGTACTTGGGTTTCAATTAAATTATAAAGCATGCAAAACACATTAAACACATATTACAAGTTGAAAGATTTTCTTCACAAAAATCTATATCAACATTTCATTTTTAAAAAGTGTCTTTCACTGCAGGGTTTATTAAAAAATCATTTTGTAGTGAAAAATTAAATATTAGTTTCTTTGCTATGCTAGTTTCACAGAAAAAAATTTATTACTATAGAATGCTTACCATTTTTATAACTGCATTTCATTTTAAATATTCCTGAAAAAAATGTTCATTTGTTTTTGTCATGGGTCTGGGCCAGGGGTGATAAAAAGCCTTACAGTCCAGGAAAGCACACTGAGAACAAAGGGCAGGTGTCATTTTTTATTGTGATTGGCCAGAGCTGAAATCAGGACTTTTTCCCTCTCTCAGAGGCTATTGTGGAATTTACAGTAATCACCCTGGCTGACTGCCCATCACACAGCTGAACAGCACATGAAAAAAATATCTGGGGAGAAGGCCACACATATTTTTTAAATTCTCATTGCTTTTATTCTTCAAATTTGAAAGGTATTTTTTAAGAGAAAAGGAAAAACTCACCGAGCTGTTACCACTATTCATAGTCCAAGAGCTTCTAAAGTGCTCCAGGCCACCTGGTTGACTTTTGACTTGGAGTCGGTCTAGGAAAGCATTATTTACCCTTTAAAACAATGAAAAATGTGTGTAAGCAAAAAGCTTGTTGCAAGGCTGAGAGATTTTTGAGAACCTAATGTGCTGTATGACTGACTATGGGGATTGCTTCCCTCTCTTCAGCTTAGGAGAAATCTACAGAAACTTCTTTTCACATTAATCACATGACATGCTATTAGCAGTCCTTTGCTGGAGCTGGTGCCATTTGTGGGTGGTGGCTTGGCCAGAGGGGACACAATTCCTAATTTCAGTTTCACTGTCCTATCTTCTGTCAGTTCAAGAACCTTCTTCATCTAAGCAAGCAGATGCCTAAAGCCCAGGCGAGGCAAGGCATGAACCCTGGAGGCTGAGGAAAGATAAAGGCTTTGTTAGAACTAAAACAAGAATAAAAAACAAAAATAGCTCTGTGGTACTGTTGTTGCAAGACAGATTTTGCTCCCATATGCCCTATGCCCCATTGTCAGTCTTGCTAAAGTAAATCCCGCAAGTGAAAAATAGAAGGGAAATGGGACGAGTGAATGGGGAAAAGGAAATATCAAAAGAGGGAAAACTGAGCTTTCAAAGAGGGTTATGGGTACATCTTTCACTGATGTTCAGTCACACTTCCAGCAACAAAATTCAAAAATTAAATTTAACACATAGGAGGTAAAACCTTGAAGAAAGGTAAGAAAGTGATTATTATAAAGGTCAGAATGTGGATTAACTGTAAGATGATAGTTATATTCTATTTCTGGAGCTGGCTACCCAGTTGTTCACTTTATCATTCTAAATATTTGTTTCATGGTCTTGGATATGCCTATCCTACTAAAAAATTAAATTTTTAAATTAAAACTTTTTAATATTAAAAAAAGTAAATTAAAGGCAACAGCATGCTCTGAGTTGCCTTGTTATGGATGAGTAGAGTCAGGGATGTGAAGGTTGGAGAAGCAACATTATGATAGTATCATGTCAGCACATTACTGAGGAATAGTGTCATTAGGACCATAAGGTTCTTGTTAGAAACACTATACCTGGTGCACAGCAGCAACTCAATACACATTTATGGGAGGAAGGATAGACTGGCCCCAGTCACATTAGCCTCCTGTTCAGTCATGAAGATTAGCAGAATGTGGACATGGTGGGGAGCTGTCAGTCCATGACTATGGGAGGTTTGGGCACTTTAAGGATAATGACTGCTGGGTGGCAACGACAGAGGATTTTTTTTTTTTTTTGCCTGTCTATGCTTGCTTAAGGATATCTAAAATGCCAACTACATGTTGACCCAGCTGGATCTCGGGCTTTTTGGGTTGCTGTTTTCTCAACAACTTCAAGTCCCATCAAACGCTGGTTACATCTTAGTTATTACAAAGTTTTTTTCCTCTCACCATAAAATCTACCCAAGTGCCATATCTGGTCAGCCTTGATATCTGCAGAGCTCAATGTGTAAGTCACCTTTATAGGACGTCTTGGCACGCAGATTAAACAGTATCTTACTGAGCTGGAGACTTGTATATTAAGGAAATGAAAGCTGACCTTGCTTCCCCTTAAATAGCACAGCCAATCTTATTCTTGACTGCTCATATACCTAGGGCTGTTTTTATCCAGTCTTTTTGTCAGTAACAAAAATGGGCTCTCCCTCAACATCCCCAGGCCACCCCATATCTAAACCACTAAAAGTCCTGTTGGCTCTACCAACAAAGCACATCTTGAATTCACCTATATCTTTCCAGGGCCACCATTCTAGTCCAAATTGTTGTCCTCTCTCATCTTGCTTCTGCTTCCATTTCTGCCTCTGTAAGCCATTCTCCACATACCCAGCTTACTAAATCATGAAAGAGGGCATGCCTTCCCTTTGCTTAAAACTCTCCCGTGACTTTCCATTACTCTTAGAATAAAATCACTGGCTTATGACATCTTGTGTTTTCTGGCTTCTGCCTACATTTACTACCTTATTTCACAACATTTTCTCCTTACCATCTATAATCTAGTCATTTGGGACTCAGAAAACCCAAGCTCATTCCCTTTTTAGGGCCTTTGCATTTGATCTTATGCCTGAATAGGGGATATCGTATGTTTTGGCCCCGAGTTTCCCTGTGACTAGCTCTTATCCTGTAATGTCGCTTCTTTTTTGAGGAATTATCACCTCCAGTCTCTCCAAAACATCATAGCCATGGTGTGATCCCCATGGTACATATCATTATCTAAAATAATCTCACTGTTAAATTGTTGACTTTTATTTCTTTCTTCCAGTTAGTAATTTCCATGTAGTCAAGGACATTCTCTGCCTATTCCCAGTCTATTTCTAGTGCTGAGAACAAAGACTTCACATGCCTTAATATGTAAAAGGTAAATGAATGAATTATCCAGGCACATGATCCCCAGTTGGGCACATGATTGGCCTTCATCTGTGACTGCAGCTACATCGAGAAACCACCAATGGTGGTGAATCCAGCCTGCAAAACTACTCACTGTCCACTTCCCTCAATTCACTCAAACACTGTACAGACTGATGACTTGTCATGTATGCAAGGTGATGCAATTCACTTTTGAGCATGAGTTACTAGGACACAGAGATTATGGGTGGTAAAGAGATTATTTTCTCAATTCTTATGGAGAATTCAAATAGGAAAAAAAAGTACCAATTTATATTTTTGTTTACTAGTATTAGAAAGTATAATACATGCATTTTATTGTTGTCAAACTAATGCTCTGGATTTTCTTCCCAGGGTTAATTTGGATAAAAATTGTTATTCAAGAACAGTTCAAGTTTCAATAAACCAGTTCATTCTAGTTTTTAACTCACAGTCCAGTTCCTTTCAAGTCCTTAACCTCTATGGGTCTGTCCTTTCTCTATTGAGTTTAAACTTTCTTCTCTTACTCAAAAAGTTACACTAAATCAGGTGCAGATGTATTCAAGCTCAATCGTTTTAGGATTCACTGAAAACCTTGTGAGGAATCCCAGAAGCTTTCTATTGTAAAACTCAGGGTTGAGTTTTCGGCCATGTGAACTTCTAAACAGTAGAAAGCACATTATCTTTTTGACTCTAATAAAATTAATATCCCTGGGGAAAAGCTAACTTATGTCCCTACATACAGACTATGTAGCTTGTGCTGTTGCCTTTAGCAGGAATGAACACAGCTATTTTATTCATTAAGAGTCTAGTGAATGAATATTTTCATATGATAATATAGGAATTCTCACTGTAAATTCTAAAAGACAAAACAAAGTCTTTTCAAAAATTGATTGAGAATATAAAAACTGTTTAACGACTAGATCAGTTATTTCAAACCTGATGATTAAATTTATTATCCAGAGAGATTTCCTCGTGGATTAAATTTGGATATACATTTAACTAGAATCAAGAAAAAGAAAATAAGATATAGAAAATATCCAATAAACAGCCTCACCAATATTTAAGTATTCAGCAGCATGAAAATAAACTTAAAGAGTGAGGGTCAAGGTTCCTATAACAAAACAAAAGTAATCCTTTCCACCTCTAATCAGATAACTTGCATTTTTATTAGATGCCTACTGAAGATTAATTTCTTAGCAACAGGGCTTATTAATGTGACATCATTATCTCTAAGATACTTAAAGCTTTCCAATTCAATTAACCCTCAAAAATCTAGAGAAATAACTGGCTAGTACTAACAACTGTTATGTAATATCAGGGTTTTTTAATAGAAAAACATTTAAAGAGAAAATAAGAAAAAAACCTATATAAGACTGAACTAATTTGTGGCTTATTTTATACATATACAAAAACCAAAACCAAAAAGAAACAACCCCACGTAGCAGTAACGGTGTCCTCTGACCCAACAGAAGAGTCTAATCAGGGTATCAGTGCTTTGATGTTTCTTTATAATCAGAGAAGAACATATAAATTCACATTTGACATTTTAAAACTATTTTTACTGGATGATGGAAGCAGCATAGTCTAGTCAAAAGAATATGAACACCCATCCACAGTTAGTGGCTACAACAGAATTAGGAGTTTCCATTAACACCTTTTAAAGTCTTATTTACAAAATGAAACTGCCACAATTTAAAAATATGCATTAGTGACAGTGGGAATTTAAACATATAAGCCACTAAGGTTCAAAGGAAAATTTGTTCCTTTAAATCATGAGAGTCTTCACATTAAATTATTCTCCTAAAACACTGAAGAATACTGCAATTAACTCAAATAACCCAAGTGCCCTTTAGGAAAATCCTAACGTAATGATGACAGATATGACGGCTATTAGCACTGTCCCCAACATCAACATGATCTCTTACTGGGTACTGAATGTCAGCCATTAGGAATAAAATAGAGTACTTATGCTATTAAAAAGCCCTTAATGGTCCTATTTTAAGATTTTTTTCTTAATATGTTAGTCAATATAAAACAACTTTATGGTAGGTTTTGTCTGAGATTTTGTATTCAAGTATGTGTATCTCACCATCTATACTAGTTCAATTACTCTAAATGATCATCTCAAAGGATGAAGATGTCTTCTTTCATGGCAGACAAATGAAATATAATCTAAATAAACATATAGCTTGAGTGCATAATTCAGTTTTCTAGTGTAAATTAATGCCACCTATCCAGAAAAAATACTGTATGTGTATGTACATGTGAGTGTAGAAATTGGCATCCTCACACACAACTACATGCCCGTAATGTAAAGATTAACAAGATAATATTAATTTCAAAACTATAGTCAATATTACTATAATGTTTTCCTAAAACATTGCAAACAATTTATAGGTAAATTGTTTTAACCAAGGATTATAATTTATTAGCCATTATACCTCCTGTGCTCAGCCTGATGGGTTCTGGTTCTTTCTTCCTCCTGTTGCTGTCGCTTAAATTCCAATAATTCACTCTAGGGACAATAAAGTTTAAATATGGTTTTCAATTCACTTGTTTATACAGAAGACACCTAAATCAATTACATATTTAACCTTAGCAGGTGCAATATTTCATTTTTGAAACTTTTACTTAAGTACCATTTCTTTGTGAAATTATTTTTTTATGTAAGTAGGTAAAAAAAAAACCCATGATGCTTTAGTCAAACTAGCTCCGTGAGTATAAAATTGTGAGAATAAAAAGTCAAAGTGCATGTTCAAGATATTAAACCAATTGCTACAACATATACAGAGATAAGCACGTGAGTCAAACTTACCCATGTCTTACAAAAAAATCATATTTGTTTCTTCATTAATGTCACACTATAATTTCTTGGTCATTTCTCTAGCATTTCTTTCCCCCCAAAATTCAGACACTTACAAATGAATATTGGACTCAATTCCACAGTTCAATTACATTAGCAAAACATTCTCCTTCCTGGAAAATAATCACTCAACCTATTTATTGAGTTACTTCTAATACTAGCAGAACTTTGAACTTTATGGAGGGATATTATGCTTTAAACAGATCTTATTACTACAACTAAATCTCTAGCATCTGACATTCTGATTATCCTCTTGGAAGAGGTAACTTAACTTCCAAACTCAGTTACTATGTTCACAGTATTAAAGAATTAGGTGCCAGGGTTTGTCTAATACTACCTACCTTGAGGCAGACTGAGTTTCATTTCAAAGACAGAAAAGCCACAGGGAAGCATTAAGAAGCTCCTAAGTTAGGGCCTGAGTCATAGAGGTTTTCTAGTATACAAAATCCTGTCACGTCTTGATAAATATATACCAACACATGTATTTTTAACCCCCAAGATTCCTTGATGAAAAGTATGAAATACATTAAAAATTCAAATTGACATTTTGTTTTTTAACTTTATTCAAGTCTTTCACCTTCTTATAATTCCCAAAATAAAAAACTGGTTTCTTATATGGTTATATTCTAAATACATTAGTCATCAATACTTAAAGTACGTTATTTAATTCTAATTCCTATAAGGCACCGGCAAGGGAAAAATTGGAGTTTTCTAAATAATTGAATGGTATTTGTTCAACCATTTTCCATGCATTGACTAAATACCAGATGCCAAGTTTTGCACTAGAGGGACATACTTTTTCATTACAGTATAACATCTTTTTTTCCATTTTAATTTTTTCACTATAATATCTGTACATAGTAAGCCTATCAAATAACAGTACTACTAAGGCTTACACTAAAATGAAAGAAGCTCCAGTCCTCCTTGTGGCCCACACGATCACTTCCAGGACTGGGTGGATACTGAAGATGTGTGGATTTATCTTCAATTATCTTCTTAATAGCATGCATATTCTTTTATTTTTTAATTTTTAAAAAACTTGCCAAATATATTTTCCCATACAGTTGGTTCCCTTTTCATTTTGCTGATGCTTTCTTTAGCCTTGCAGAAGCTTCTTATTTTGATGAAGTCCCATTTGTTTTTTCTTTGCTTTATGTCCCTTGCTCTAGGGGACATATTGGTAAAAATATTGCTGCGTGGGATATCGGAGAGTTTCCTGACTATGTTCTCCTCTAGGGCTTTTATGGTGTCACAACTTATATTTAAGTCTTCTATTTATCTTGAGTTTATTTTTGTGTATGATGTAAAATGTATTTGAACAATAAAAAAATTTAAAAACATTTTTAATAAGAAAAGAAAATTGTATTATCTTTTTACTTCCTATTAATAAGGAAGATTTATGACTCTATCACTACCTCAATCCTAATCCCAATTTTCTCTCCTAGTATACCATTTTCATTCCTCATCATTACAACTTTTTCTTTTTTTCAACTTTCTGAGTGGTAGGGGAGGGACTCCTCTTTTAGACTTTCAATGCACCCTCCTCTTTTTAACACCAGCCTTTAGAGGTACTGGGTGCCTCTAATTCCTGACATGCTTTGGGATTATTTCTTGCAAATGAGTTCTGTTTTTTCCTTCTCTACTTTCCAGCTTTCAAAATGTATGGAAGTCTCCTTGCCTGCTCATTTGTTCTTACTGTCTTATGCCTTAAGGGACTGGAGATAAGCAAATGAAATGTTTTGAGGGTTCAATGTTTAACCATAAGACCTGAATGTTTTCACAGAAAATTTTACCAAACTCCTGGTACTTGGTTTTCAAAACTCTCAAAGGTGGGCTGGTAAATAAAATATTATTTGATGAATGAATGAATGAACATTATGTTTGTTTTACAGTTGATGAAGTCGAGGATCAGAAACTCAGTTTAAGTCAATTTTCAAAAGCTAAACAGCTCATTAGCAGCAAAATAAAAATTAGGGTTTAAATTTCCTTGTATCTAATCTTCTTTAAGATATATCCAAAATAGGTGATTAAGACTGAGGGTAACTTGGCAATAGTTCATTATACTAAAGTCATATCTAAAACCATAAGACCCATTTATACTCAAAAGGTCTAGTAGAACATATCTAAGCTCAATCTAAATCCCCCTAGTCAAAGATGCTAAGTATTCTCATATACATTGACCCATTTTTCTTAGGAACAACTTTTGGATTCCAGCCCATCATAAGTTTAATAACATGAAACTCTGAACAAACTAAATTTTTATCATGAGATAAAGATTTTTAGAACTGTAAAATGCATATACTATGTATAGCATATATGCATATTATTACTTAGTTTTCTAAAATAATTTTAAGGTAATTTTTCAGCCTTAGCAAAAATGATCCTGAAATTTATGTAGAAAAAATAAATATGTGATCATAGCCATAAAAAAACCCTAAAAAAATGAAATGAAGAATCAGCTTCAACAACTATTAAAACACGTTATGAAACTACAGTAATTAAAAGAACTTGATTTAGTCTAGGAAAAGATCTAATCTATGGAAATGTAGTTTATGTTTGCTGTTATACTAACCCATACAGGAGAGAGAGTTCTATGAATGATAATTAGCTAGCCAACTACAGTGAGAAAAATGAAAAGTAGATCCTTTACTTTTATCTCATAATAAATGTTACAGAGGTCTAAGATTTGAATACAAAAGATGGAACAGTAGATGGTTTCAAAGGAGACTTGGTAAACTTATTTATAAACTTGGAGCAAGAAACTCTCAAAATACATAAAGGAAAAATATTGATACATTTGTTTAATTAAAATGTAAAGCTTTCCTTGGGAAAAAAAATACCATACAAACTGAAAACAATTAAATGTTAATGACATATATAGGCTGACTCTACTATTCTTTTGTTCATTCACTCAGCAATGTCTGAATGCTTATTATAAGTCAGGCTTGGATTGATGTAATATAGATAGAATAATGAACAAGGTAGATAAGTTTATATCCTAAAATAAAGGAAACAATAAACAAGTGAGAAAAATAGCCAACAGTAATCCTTTGTAGAAAGATAAACAGGTTGACATGGGGGTCAATGGCTCAGTTACGCATTTAGACAGAGGCTCAAGGAAGGCCTGAGGAGACAGCTAAACACCTCATATAAACAAACAAGGGGAAAACTATCCCCAGATGGAAAAAGGGCGAAAGAATAGAAAGAAGCAGTTCACAGATAAACTATAAATTGCCTATAAATTTAAATTTGTCACTATCTTCACACATAATTGAAGAAACATATATTGAAATAAGATAAAAATTTTCTTCTATCATATTGACAAAAAGTAGAAAAGTCTATTAATTAGGTAAATTCAAGCACTTTGGGGGAAATGCCTAAGTTATTGAAAAGTAATTTAGTTTCTGGAGGACAGTATAGCAATAACATGAACATGTAAAATGTACACATCCTTTGGAGAAGTGTTCAAAGATGTCTGCATAAGAACAGTCACCGTTGTATTACTGAAACAATAAAAGTTCAAGAGAGAATCGATTCTTAATGTCTGGTCAAGATGGTGGCCTAGGAAAACACAGCTCACCTCTTCATACAAGCACATCAAAATTACAACTAAAATATAGAACAGCCATCACTCAGAACCATCAGAAATTGAGTTGAGTGGAAGTCTGACAACTATGGAATTAAAGAAGCCACATCCATCCCAACTGGTAGGAGGGTAAAGGCAAGGAATGGGTGAGTCCCACATCCACGTGTGGTAAATTATATTTTGGGTGTATACCTTTGGAGCAAGGAGTCCCAGCCCCATACCCAGCCACCCAGCCCTGGGTTCCAATGTGAGAAAGGTAAGTCCCCACAACTTCTGGCTGCAAAAACCAGCAGGGATTGAGTCAGGAGAAGAAGCTTCTGAAGTCCCAAACAGTTCCTCTTAAATAACCCACACATGGACTTAGACTTACTCCCTTTGAGCTAAAGCACTGTGGTAGCAGCTTGAAAGGCACCAGTGGAACACAGGGAGAGACTGAAGTGTCTGTCATCAAGGTGAGAGCTGGGAGACAGAGAGGCAGGCAGAGGTCATTTTCCCTTTTCTGAGCCCAACCCAAAAGATCCACAGACCCAGCAGGCTGGTGCCATATCTGAGACTCCATCTACCTGCCTAACACATGTTACCCCACGCTGGGGATCACAAGAGACTCTGTTCCTCCCAACTCATGGGCCCCCACAAGTTGCTATTCCATATGAATGGCAGGTATTGGCTCATGCTTCACAACTTCCTAAATCCTATCAAACAAGCAACAGCTGGCCTCAGTAAACCCTCACCCCTGTACCTCTTTCTACGTGGCTGCAGGACTGACGCTATCAGCAGCCAGCTTAGATTCACAGCTTGGTTTCTCCTGGGGATCTCAAAGCCCAGCACAAGTAGCAGCCATCTCAGATTGCTTTATAGCTCAGGGGGGTAGTCCTGGGAAAAATACAGGTCGGGGCTGACCTTGGCCTATACCACTTGGAAAACCCTGTGGCCAGCACATCCAGTGGGCAGCTACTGACCATTTCGGAGCATCACCACCCTGCCCCTGCACAGCCGATCCTCCACGGAGGGTGGAGGATAGTGGACAGTGGTCATAGCCAGTCCTTGCAGTTGACTGGCCTGGGTA